CCCTCCCTCCCTTCCCTTCCTTCCCTTCCCTACCTCCCTCCCTCCCTTCCCTTCCTTCCCTTCCCTTCCCTTTCCTTCCTTTCTTCCTTCCTTCCTTTCTTACAGAGTCTCACTCTGTCTCCAGGCTGGAGTGCAGTGGCATGATATCGGCTCACTGCAACTGCTGCCTCCAGGGTTCAAGTGATTCTCCTGTCTCAGCCTCCTGAGTAGCTGAAACTACAGGCACACACCACCACACCCAGCTAATTTTTGTATTTTTAGTAGAGATGGGGTTTCACCATGTTGGCAAGGATGGTCTCAGTCTCTTGACCTCGTGATCTGCCCACTTTGGCCTCCCAAAGTGCTGGGATTACAGGCATGAGCCACCACGCCCAGTCAACATATTAACATGACTTTCTATCCCATTGGCCTCATCAACACAACTTTATTATTGACTATAAAACTTTACTATTACAATTTGCTATTAATCAGGAGATTCTTGACCAAGAAGACAAAACTTGCAAACAACTTTAATGTACATTCCAGAACTTCCTAAAAGTCCCGTCAGTTCTTCAATAGCAAACATAAAACCACTTTATCTCAAATCTCTTTGATCCCCTTACGTCAAAATCTTCACCTTACTGTGTCCACTGATTCTACTCTATCATGAGTTTTACCCAATCCTAATGAAGCCTCCACACTGAAAGTGTGACTTCAAAATTACATACTTGATATATGTTGCTGTATCAAATTATGAAAGTTACTTTATATTTCTGGAGCAGAACACTGTTGATGATTATTGGAAGTACTGTAAAGCTTTATAGACTCTTAACCACCCTGAATTTAATGTAGCCCCAATGTAATTACTGTTTTGCTTGCCAAATAACATAATTTCAGCAAATTGAGTTTTAAAAATCAAATTGGCTTTTATTCATGATTCATGAGCAGTATCCAATCAAAACAGGAGGTCCACTGGGCATGGCAAAACAGTGGGTTTTCTTTCATAAGGTAGCTTGAGCAGGAACAAAAACAACATAAGCAAAAACCAAGTAGTTAACGATAGGTTAGTTCAGGTTACTTCCGTTGCAGGGGTTAAAGCAGAGGGGACTTCCTTATCATGCCAGCTCAGGTTGGCTAGGTGCCATCTGATCAGTCCCTGTGACCCTGTTTTGTTTTAGGTTTTGAAAACTGGCCTGTTTGGGAATTTAGTTATCATCACTCCTGATTTCCTAGAAGGTCAGATCTTCAAGTAAACTGCTTAGTTTTGGTTTGGTGACGTGGAACTCTACCTTGGTTCCACAGGCTGGTCTGCTGGAGCCTAGTGCAGGTGCTCACTCCAAATCAGTAGCCTCAAATTTTACTTAAAAAGCTAAATCCCTGCTTGGTGGCTCAGACCTGTAATCCCAGCACTTTGGGAGGCTGAGGAGGGCGGATCATCAGGTCAGGAGATCGAGACCATCTTGGCTAACACAGTGAAACCCTGTCTACTAAAACTACAAAAAATTAGCCAGGTGTGGTAGCACGTGCCGGTAGTCCCAGCTACTCAGGAGGCTGAGGCAGGAGAATCACTTCAACCTGGGAGGTGGAGGTTGCAGTGAACCAAGACCACACACACCACTGCACTCCAGCCTGTGTGACAGAGCCAGACTCCATCTCAAAAGAAAGAAAAAAAAAGAAGCTAAATGTTGGTAGGGTGTCAGCAACAATAAATACAGACTCAAAGCAATTCCTCAAGATATAGATATGTATATAATCTAAATTAAATATATACATATATATCTCCTGTAATGGAGGTTACAGGTATGAAATACACTAACTACTAATTCATATCAGTGCAAACCTGATGTCTCTCATTTGCTTCAGTCCTATATGTAGGAAATCCTCAGATCTTACACTGACAAATCCATTGGTTAATACTGAATAATTCTATTTTCAATAAGCTTCTCAGAGTAAGTACTATAGGTAAAGCAATTAATTTATAAAAATCTAAATTCATTTAATTTAAATAAATTTTTATTATCTGTGTAATATTTCCAGAAAGCAGCCAACAACAATAACAATAACAAAAAGACTTGTATTTTTAAGATCTATTATTCTTTTTTTATTTGGAATTGCTTTAGGAACTATGAAGGGCAGGTATTAAAATCAGCACTTTAATAGTATATCAGTTAGAGATAGCAAAAACATTTCCAAAATTTCTCGAGTGAAATAACACCAGAAATAATACCAATATATAGTGTTACCAATAAGATACTTAGGTAATGACTCTCAACTATACAGGCATTTACAATTTGCTTCTTCTATTTCTTCTATAAGGGTTAAAAACACTTTCGTGTTAGTTCATGCCTCTTCTTTCTTTTTTTTTTTCCTTATTTATTTATTTATTTATTTATTTATTTTTTGAGATGGAGTTTCACTCTTGTCACCCAGACTGGAGTGCAATGGCACAATCTTTGCTCACTGCAACCTCTGTCCTCCGGGTTCAAGTGATCCTCCTTCCTAAGGCTCCTGAGTTAACTGGGATTACAGGTGCCTGCTACCTTCACCCGGCTAATTTTTGCATTTTTAGTAGAGATGGAGTTTCACCATGTTGGCCAGGCTAGTCTCAAACTTCTGGCCTCAGATGATCTGCCCGCCGCAGCTCCCAAAGAGCTGGGATTACAGGCATGAGCCACCAAACCTGGCTCATAACTGCTCTTGATATGCATTAGTGGCAAATACTGTGCCTCTGTATTCTACAGGGTTGAGAGATAAAGAAAAAAATATCTGAAACAACCAACTAACATGATGATGATGATGATGATGATGATGATGATGATTTGAGACAGGGTCTCTCTCTGTCACTCAGGCTGGAGTGTAGTGGCATGATTACAGCTCACTGCACCCTCAGCCTACCAGGCTCAAGCAGTGCTCCCACTTCAGCCTCCCCAGTAGCTGTGATTACAAGCATGGCCCACCATGCCCAGCTAATTTTTGTATTTTTTCTTTTGCCATGTTGCCCAGGCTAGTCTCAAACTCCTGACCTCATGTGAACTGCCAGCCTCAGCCTCCCAAAGTGCTGAGATTATAGGCATGCATCACCATGCTGGGCCCTCAGTTAATTATTAATCAAAAGGCTCCCACCTCTTGATCCTCTACTGAAAATTAAAACATCAATGCTCAAACTTAAGATCCTGGAGAATCAATATTCTTACCTCATTATTTAAACTAAGGAGATAGCACAAAATTTGCAGTAATAGTCAGAATCCAACTTAGCTAAGGACAAGCACTATTCTCCAATATAAAAAATATTACAAACACCCAGCATTTTCACTAAGTGTAAGTGCCAAGCATTAAACAAGGATGGAATTATAATTTGCTAACATCAACACACTATGCTTGTCTATAAGAATTATAAGAAAATAATATTTCTTCTCAATTATTTGTAAGATGGGAAAGAAGAAATGGCCTAGATAATCATAGATACTTATATACTTGGTTTTGACAAAACTATTAATCTATAGGTATCTCCAGACTACCCTGTCTGAGTCAAATCCCTACTGCTAACCATCTAGACCAGTGGTTGCCAACTTTGACTGGACATTTACATCTCCTAGAGGGCTTCTAACTGTCCAGGACCACCCCAGGATTTTTGGAAGTAGAGTTTGAGCATCAGTATTTTTAAAAACTCCCCTGCTCTGTTCCATTGGTCTATATCTCTGTTTTGGTATCAATTTGATGCCAGTAATCAATATCATGCTGTTTTGACTACTGTAGCCTTGTAGTATAGTTTGAAGTCAGGTAGCCTGATGCCTCCAGCTTTGTTCTTTTTGCTTAGGATTGTCTTGGCTATGTGGGCTCTCTTTTGGTTCCATATAAAGTTTAAAGTGTTTTTTTCCAGTTTTGTGAAGAAGGTCAGTGGTAGCTTGATGGGAATAGTACTGAATCTATAAATTACTTTGGGCAGTATAGCCATTTTCACAATATTGATTCTTCCTAACCATGAGCATGGAATGTTTTTCCATCTGTTTGTGTCCTCTCTTATTTCCTTGATCAGTGGTTTGCTGTTCTCCTTGAATAGGTCTTTTACATCCCTTGTTAGTTGTATTCCTAGGTATTTGATTCTCTTTGTAGCAATTGTGAATGGGAGTTTGCTCATGATTTGGCTCTATTTGTAAACCATCATTCTCAGCAAACTGACACAAGAACAGAAAACCAAACACCGCCTGTTTTCACTCATAGGCGGGTGACGAACAATGAGAACACTTGGGCACAGGGAAGGGAACATCACACACTGGGGTAGGTGGTGGGGTGGAGGGGAAGGGAGGGGAGGGACAGCGTGGGGTGGGGAGGATGGGGAGGGGTAATACCAGGAGAAATGCCTGATGTAGGCAACAGCGGAGGGGGA